AATAGGTACCACTCCGGTGGGAAGGTAAACGACGTTTCCATGCGCTGCTCTATTTCGCCAGAAGTGGCATAGTCATGTTGGCCACATGACCCGGAAGCTGTTTCCCGACTCCCTCGGCCAGTAAAGCGAGATGAGCGCCACAACCCCAGAGTCATCCGTGACTGGACTTAATGGTCAGGGGTCCCTCTCCCTTTACCTATAAATGGGACTCGGGTGGTGCTGTGGGTTAAACCACAGAGCCTAGGGCTTGCCGATCAGAAGGTCAGCGGTTCAAATCCCCGCAACGGGGTGAGCTCCCATTGCTCGGTCCCTGCTCCTGAAAACTTAGCAGTTTGAAAGCACGTCAAAATGCAAGTAGATAAATAGGTACCACTCCAGCGGGAAGGTAAATGGCGTTTCCGTGCGCTGCTCTGGTTCGCCAGAAGTGGCTTAGTCATGCTGGCCCCATGACCCGGAAGCTGTATGCTGGCTCCGTCGGCCAATAAAGCGAGATGAGCGCCGCAACCCCAGAGTCGTCCGCAACTGGACCTAACGGTCAGGGGTCCCTTTACCTTTACCTTCTCCTGGATGACATGCTTCTCCCCCTCCTCATTTAATCCCTGCAACAGCCCTGTGAGGTAGGTCAGGCTGAGAGGCAATGAGTGGCCCCTGAGATCCCCCATTGAGAGCTTCATGGCCTAGTGGGGGGATTTGAACTCTGTTCTCTCGCAGGTCTGACACTCTAAACCAGTATTTCCCAAATTTGGGACTCCAGCTGTTTTTGAACTACAACTCCCATCATCCCTAGCTAATGGGACCCGTACTCAGGGAAGATGGGACCTGTAGTCCGAAAACAGCTGGAGACCCACGTTTGGGAAATCCTGATCTCCATCTATATCCCTCCTATCTATCCTCCCCAATCTATGTCCTCCCTCCTGTGAGCACGAAATCCCTGAGAGCTCCAGTCGCCCACCAAAGGTACATTGGTACCTTGTGTACTTAATTTGTTCCGGAGTTCCGTTCTTAACCTGAAACTGTTCCTAACCTGAGGTACCACTTTAGCTAATGGGGCCTCCCACTGCTGCTGCGCCGCCGCCACATGATTTCTGTTCTCATCCTGAAGCAAAGTTCTTAACCCGAGGTACTATTTCTGGGTTAGCGGAGTCTGTAACCTGAAGTGTATGTAACCTGAAGCGTCTGTAACCCGAGGTACCACTGTATTCTTACAGAAGGACTTCAAAGCTGTGGTCTACCTCTTGGATTGGTTCAGACATCTAACCAAAGCGGCCAAATCATGTGGACTAGCAGCCAGCTTTTTATACCTTGTAACTTTAACTTGTTGAACTCAGATTGAGAGGTTTAGCTGGCCCTAGGCCACTTGCTGCTTCCCGGCCTGCCTCACAGGGCTGTTGTGAGGAGGAGACAGGAGAGGGGCGCAACCTGTAGGAAGAAAGAGCAGTATACAAGCGTGATAACGGATCTGAGTCTCTGAGCCGTTTCCAGTTAAGAATTCCTCTGAATGGGGGTTGGTCCTGAGTTCTGTCTTTGTGATTTGTGGGATGGCTAATAATAATAATAATAATAATAATAATAATAATAATAATAATAAATTTATATCCCGCCCATCTGGCTTGGTTTCCCCAGTCACTGGGCACCTTGTAACATATAATACACAAAACATCAAACATTAAAAAAAACAATATATCCTATACAAGCAACATGCAAACCAATAAATCAATAAAAACCAATAACAACAATAATAAACAGTTTGCAGTTATACCCAAATTAAAGTAACCGCCAACCCCAAATAAACTAAACTAAATTTCCAGTTCACCAGGTTATGCCAAAGGCTTCTCTCTCATTCTCTCCCTTTCTTTCTTTCTTTCTAAAAAAGTATTCGGCCACCTGCAATTCCAAAAACAGCCCAGTGTAAAAATGTCACCTTTGTTTTATGGGCTAGATTGCAACGGCCACCGCACTTGCCTACATGGTGAATGAGGGGAAAGTTTGACGACTGCAGGCGATTGCTGCTACTGATAAGAAAGGAGGGCAGAGAAGGGTTGCGCGGTAACAAAACATCCCCGGTAGTTTTGCTGTTTGGGTGGAAATGGAATTGGGGGGGAAAGCACTTGCTGTATTAAAGAGATTAGGGGTTTGGGGAGCCTTTTTAGCCTGAGGGCCACATTCTATCCTGTGCAGCCATCCGGGGGCCAGAGGCAAAAGCAGAGCGACTGATAGGAGCCATATTGATGTTGGCTAGCCCTGCCTTATGACACAGGCACATATGAGTCTGCCTTACACGGAGTCCATCTACCCCATTAATGTCTGCACTGGCTGGCAGCAATGGCTTTCCGGGTTTTCAGGTGGGGGTCTTCTTCCCCAAGGCCTGCCTCAAGATGCAGTGGGGGGGGGGTGAACCTGGTTCCTTTTGTGTGGGGTGTGAAATAAGAATATTGAGGGGTCCCTTCAAGGCAGGGGTCAGCAAACTTTTTCAGCAGGGGGCCGGTCCACTGTCCCTCAGATCTTGTGGGGGCCGGACAATTGTTTTTTTGGGGAAGAATGAACGAATTCCTATGCCCCACAAATAACCCAGAGATGCATTTTAAATAAAAGCGCACATTCTACTCATGTAAAAACACGCTGATTCCCGGACCATCCGCAGGCTGGATTTAGACGGTGATTGGGCCGGATCCAGCCGCCGGGCCTTAGTTTGCCTACTCATGCTTCAAGGGGTTCAGCTTCTTAAGGAAGACTGGACCTTCGGAGAGAGCGTACTTTTTTAAGGCTCAAACCGGTCAGAAAATGAACAGAGACCAGACCAGGTTATACAAAAGCAAAGCGGCTATAAGCGTGGTCTTTATTACAGCTGTTGCAACAGGGTGTCCCCCCCCCCCACACGCAGGAGAGAGGAGGAGGACCCAGGACAAAGGTGTGCAAGTGCTTATATAGACTTTGAAATTGCCCACCCTGGAGCTCAAGACCACCCCCAGAAACACCATACGTACATCACAGAAGGGGTGTAGCCCAAGACCACCCCCCAGATACATCAGAGAAGGGGCGGACTACAACAGAAATCTGAGTGCGTTGTTTTTTCTCCTGTCTGCTAGGTTACCTGCTTGGATTACCTGGGCATCCTGGCCACTCTTTAGTTATGATAACTACTCAACTCCTGAATCCAGGTCACAGGCTCACCCTATTCATATCTTAAATGTGCCCTTGAGACAGGATTTGTGAGCAAAGAGACAATGGGGAGGCTCCCCACTTCCTTAGACCTTGCAGATCTGAGGTCAATTTGGGAGGGAGAAAATGCTTTTAGGACTTTTCTGTGGGTTTCAGACATGTGGTCTATACATATTTGTATGTGCTTGCTTGGTACATTTATGAACATCTATTATATATATATATAAGACCTTAAAATTCTTATAACAGGTGCATGGGCCCTGCCACCAAGCGGTGGCCCTTTCCTGAAAAACAAAACAAGTTTCTAGTTCTTGCCGTTCCATGTAAAAAAGGCTGGTTGAAAAAGGGAGCTGCCCTCTGCCTGGGATTTATTGGGGTTGTCGGGTTCCTGTGCTGAGCCTCAGAAGGTCTCGTAAAAGCCTGACATGTCAGAGGGGGAGAGAACAACTGGAACCTGACAGGCCGGTGAATTAAATTCTTAGGTAATTGCATCTTTGTGAGTCCATCGCTGCAGTCGGTTTGTTTGCCTTCTTCCGTTCCACTTGCTGAATAACACCCCCCCCACCTTTCCCTAAAAACCCCAGAAAGGATGTGTGCAGGTGGACTTCTTGGGATCTGCAACAGTGAAAATCCATTTCCCCTTCTCTTCCCTCCCTCCGCTCTTAAGCAAAAATTGAATTCTGATAGCTAGGATTCCAGCTTCTTGCTGCTGCCGTGGATTTGCAAACAAGCAATGGATTTGTGGGCGTCTCCGCTTCTGGATCTCTCCATGGCAGGGAGAGCAGAAAAGAGTTGCCTGGTGCCGTGGCTTGGCGGCCGCTCAAAACAGACCGGTTACCAGAGTCCCCTGTCCATGGAGGCGCGGGTCAATTCTGTGTCCAGAGCGGCTGTCTACCAGCTCCATCTGATACGCAGGCTGAGACCTTACCTGCCCGCAGACTGTCTGGCCAGAGTGGTGCACACTCTGGTTATCTCCCGCTTGGACTACTGCAATGCGCTCTATGTGGGGCTACCTTTAAAGGTGACCCGGAAACTGCAACGAATCCAGAATGCGGCAGCCAGACGGGTGACTGGGAGCAGCTGCCGAGACCACATAACACCGGTGGCTCCCAGTACATTTCTGGGCACAATTCAAAGTGTTGGTGCTGACCTTTAAAGCCCTAAACGGCCACGGCCCAGTATACCTGAAGGAGCGTCTCCACCCCCATCGTCCAGCTTGGACACTGAGGTCCAGCTCCGAGGGCCTTGTGGCGGTTCCCTCCCTGTGAGAAGTGAGGTTACAGGGAACCAGGCAGAGGGCCTTCTTGGTAGTGGCACTCGTCCTGTGGAACGCCCTTCCATCAGATGTCGAGGAAATAAACAACTATCTGACTTTTAGAAGACATCTGAAGGCAGCCCTGTTTAGGGAAGTTTTTAATGTTTAATGCTGTATTGTGTTTTTAACATTCTGTTGGGAGCCACCCAAAGTGGCTGGGGAAACCCAGCCAGATGGGTGGGGTATATATAAATAAATAAATCATCATCATCATTTATTATCCTCTTTTAAAGCCATTCAAGTTGGTGGTGATCACTGCCTCCTGCAGGAAGGAGTTCCGCAGTTTAACTCTGCCCTGCATAGAGGTATTTCTTGGGAGGTTGTGGACTCACTTTCCTTGAAGGCTTTTAAGCAGAGGTTGGATGGCCATCTATCAGGGAAGTGGAGTATAATTAATATGATGATGATGATGATGATTACAGTACAACAACAACCCTTTGCCACTCTGCGAAGAGGGTGACCGGTCCAGATGGGCCTGATCCAGCCGCAAGGCTCTCCTGACCTTGTGTTCTTCCCTTCCTTGCAGCAAACGTTTGAGGCCCATCCGGAGGAAGAAGCAAGCGTCACCCACATGATCAAGGCGGGCAGCGGCGTGTGGATGGCCTTCTCCTGCGGCTCCTCCGTCCGGCTCTTCCACACTGAAACGCTTGAGCATCTGCAGGAGATCAACATCGCCACGCGGACCACTTTTGCACTGCCAGGTAGGCATGGGACCACCAACAGGGACAATAGCTCTGGATATTCTTGGCCTGGCCGCCAAAATTGGCACCACTGCGAGGCCTGCATGTCTGGGAGGGACAACTAAGTTTTACTCATTGAAATTACCAGAGGATCCCCATGAATTTCAGTGGGTTTCTTCCCTCCCTCCCTCCTTCCTTCCTTCCTTCCTTCCTTCCTTCCTTCCTTCCTTCCTTCCGCGATCACGCATAGCTGAGCATGATTGTCTTCCATAAACATGGTTTTAACAGTGAGTCTGTAAGTGACCGTTGAGGCCAATTCTGGATCCACACGTCCTTCCACAGTGGGGACGAAGGTTTACAGGTGGGAGTTGATCGTGGTGAGGGTTTGCAAAGCGTGCCTTCCTCTTACCATGTTTCTCCCTTTTGTCCTGTGTTCGAGCATCTTCAAAGCCCATGACACCTTCGGTAAAAGCTGTTCTCCAATTGCAGGCCAGTGTTTCCCAGTTGTTGGTGATTATACTACAGTGGTAAAGGTAAAGGTACCCCTGCCCGTACTGGCCAGTCGTGTCCGACTCTAGGGTTGTGCGCCCATCTCACTTAAGAGGCTGGGGGCCAGCGCTGTCCGGAGACACTCCCGGGTCACGTGGCCAGCGTGACGAAGCTTGATCTGTCTTCCGTGATATTTTGTTGTTGTTTAGTCGGAAAACATCTAGAGTGCTGTGTCCAATTCTGGGCACCACAATTGAAGGAGGATGTTGACAAGATGGAATGTGTGCAGAGGAGGGTGACCGAGATGATCAAGTGTCTGGAAACCAAGCCATATGAGGAGCAGTTGAAGGCGCTGGGTATATTTAGGCTGGAAAAGAGGAGACTGTGAGAAGAGATATGATTGTTGTTATTGTTTAGTCATTTAGTCGTGTCCGACTCTTTGTGACCGCATGGACCAGAGCACGCCAGGCACTCCTGTCTTCCACTGCCTCCCGCAGTTTGGTCAGATTGCAACCATCTCGTCCTCCGTCGTCCCCTTCTCCTTGTGCCCTCCATCTTTCCCAACATCAGGGTCTTTCCCAGGGAGTCTTCTCTTCTCATGAGGTGGCCAAAGTAGTGGAGCCTCAGCTTCAGGACCTGTCCTTCCAGTCAGCACTCAGGGCTGATTTCCTTCAGAATGGATAGGTTTGATCTTCTTGCAGTCCATGGGACTCTCACGAGTCTCCTCCAGCACCAGAATTCAAAAGCATCGATTCTTTGGCCATCAGCCTTCTTTATGGTCCAGCTCTCACTTCCATACATCACTACTGGGAAAACCATAGCTTTAACTATACGGACCTTTGTCGGCAAGGTGATGTGTCTGATATAGCCCCCCACAAAGAAGAGGGCAAACATTTGGTCCTTGGATGGATAGCTCAGCTGGTTAGAGCATGGTGCTGATAATGCCAAGGTTGCAGGTTTGTATGGGGCAGCTGCATATTCCTGCATTGCAGGGGGTTGGGCTAGATGACCATCAGGGTCCCTTCCAACTCTACTCTTCTACGATTCTATAGCAGGGCTAGATCCAATGGGCAGAAGTGAAAGGAAAGGTGGCTTTGCTGCTGAACGTTAACAGTAAGAGCTGTTCCTTCAGGACTCTCCTTCCTTGGAGGTTTTTCAGCAGAGGTTGGATGGCCACCTGTCGTGGATGCTTTAGCTGAGATTCCTGCACTGCGGGGGGTTGGACTAGATGACCCTCGGAGTCCCATACAACTCTCTGATTACGAGAAGCATCTCTGCCATGGGAACAGGTAGGCAGTGGAAGTGAGGACTTAGAGAAGGTGGTCAGTTCTCCCTGGCTGGTTGTCATCAAGCAGGGAAACTTGGCTGCCATTTGGTGTGCATGGGTGTCCAGCTCTGGACTTCCTGAACTGGGATTCATTGAATTGTAGAGTTGGAAAGGACCCCCACAGCTCTTCTAGTCCACCCCCCCCCCCCGCAATGCACGAATCACATCTCAAGAATGCATGCCGGAATGCTATCCCATCATTGTTTAAAAACCTCCACCTTCTGAGGTTAAATGTTCCACTGTTGTTTGTTTTTTTACTTTATTTCGACAAAGTAATAATAATAAATAAATAAGAATAAAATGTGCACCTCACCACTGAGACCATTCCATTCTAACTAACCAACCTCCCAAATTTTCAACGCCTCTTGCGATGGTTTGACCCCTTTCCGTTTTAACAGTACAGTGGTACCTCGGGTTACAGGCGCTTCAGGTTACAGACTCCGCTAACCCAGAAATAGTACCTTGGGTTAAGAACTTTGCTTCAGGATGAGAACAGAAATCACATGGCGGTGGCGTGGTGGCAGCGGGAGGCCCCATTAGCTAAAGTGGTGTCTCAGGTTAAGAACGGACCTCCAGAACAAATTAAGTTCTTAACCCGAGGTGCCACTGTACAGATTCTACAAACACCTTCCATATCTCTTTGAAGTCATTTCTCCTGCATATTCCCCATCTTTCTTCCACTGTTGAACAGCCCTTGGAGAAGTGGGCTTGGACCTGATAGCGCCATCTCTCCTTCCCTGTGCCAAGTCAACCCAACTACCACCACAACCGCAACCACAAATTCTTTGTTAATTTTATTTCTGTTGCAGCCACCCTGCCCTGCGCCTTTCTTAGACCTCTCTCTCTCCCCTCCCCACTTTCTTCCATCTGCAAGATGGAGTAATTGTGCAATTAGGACTATATGCATTAGCTGTTTAAAGTGTTTCATGGCTCTCTCCCTTTTTTTTTTTAAAAAAAGCTTTTTTTAAAAAAGACCCCCCTTTTTTAAAAAAAGAATCGCTGCTTCTCTTCTCCTTCCCTTGGAGCGAGCGTTTTAATTTTGGTATTAATGCATATTTGAACTTAAGCTCTCTCATCCTTTTTAACTAGACAGGCCGTTAATAAAGTCTTTCTCGCAGAGAGGCCCCGGCCTTTTAAAAGCGGTAGATCTATTAGCCGGGACGGAGTCTGACGTTGCGGCATTAAGCCTCCGAGATAAAATATTTATTCTCCGTTAAGAGTCCCACCCGCCATCTCTTCCCCGAAGAGCAGGGGGCACAAGAAGCCTTATCAGCATCGCTATGATCTGGGTGAATCCCCTCTTGTAGCTCCCATTCATTATTCTTCAATTCTTCTTGCAAAAAGCTTGGAACTTACTGCCTTATGCTGAGTCAAACCATTTGTCCATTGAGCCCAGTGTTGTCCACACAGACTGACAGGCATCTCTCCAGGAGTTCAGACCGAGATCTTACCTAGAGATTGAAAATGGAGGCCTTCTGCATGCTCTACCTCTGAGTTACAGTCTTTTCATTAAAAACAAAGTGTGCTGTTCGTCCTCATAGTTCTGAAGGAGTCAGACCCTTAGTCTATCTAGCTCAGTGTTGTCTTCAGTGGCTGGCAGGATGCTCTGCAGGGTTTAAGGCTGAGGCCTTGCCTACTCCTTCTGCATGCAGAGCAGATGCTTCGCCTCTGAGCTACAGCCCTTCCAGTGTAATATGGAATCTATGGGTCTCTACCTTCCCTGTACTTTATCCTTTGCAAAACACCTACTGAGTTAGACTTGTGGCTCAAGGGTGCCTTATGCAGAACCTGCCCTAGAAATGATGGCATCGGCCATTTAATCCAGGGCTGGGGGATTTTTCTACATTAGGACCACATTTCCTCCCAGATAAGCTTCCAAGGGCTGCATGCGAGGGGCGGGCAGGGCTAGAGGGAAAAGTCGGCAAGGCAGTAGAGGCCAATTTTACCTTTGTAGAGCAGGCTTGCTTTTGTACAAAAACCTATCTCCGTCTTCCATGCAAGAGGCATCATCAGACCTCAAGGATGTGTCCCACCCAGGAGGAAGAAACTAAGGGAGGAAACAAAATCAGGGTGGTGAGAGGTTCTGGCCTGGGGAGTGTTCTGAGGACCAGGGCAGAGAGGTTTTTGAGGGCTCCACTCAGCCCCAATCCCTGAACTTCTTCACCCTCCTTTTAATCAATGAACTGGTCAGGTCAATTGATTCCTACCGAAACCCGATCGCTTTACTGGCAACTCCCCATTTACGCGGGGGTTATGCTCTGAGGCACCATGCGTATTTTAAAGGGAAAGGGACCCCTGACCATTAGGTCCAGTCGTGGCCGACTCTGGGGTTGCGGGGCTCGTCTCACTTTATTGGCCGAGGGAGCCAGCGTACAGCTTCCGGGTCATGTGGCCAGCATGACTAAGCCGCTTCTGGCGAACCAGAGCAGCGCACGGAAACGCCATTTACCTTCCCGCTGGAGCAGTACCTATTTATCTACTTGCACTTTGACGTGCTTTCGAACTGCTAGGTTGGCAGGAGCAGGGACCGAGCAATGGGAGCTCACCCCGTCTTAGGGATTCGAACCACCAACCTTCTGATCGGCAAGTCCTAGGCTCTGTGGTTTAACCCACAGCGCCACCCGCATCCATGGATATTTTAGGCCCTGCTAATTGATCGGGCATCACATTTTAGAAAGGTTTCAAGTATTTATTTATTTTTACAAGGTGACTTACGAAAGCTGGAGATGGCAGGGACCACATTCGTTCAGAGGGTTTGGGGGGATGTTGCAGGTTAGGGTGAGGGCTTCTTCTGAGATGTGGTCACAGCAGGCTGCCATCTAAAAGCAAAGCCTGCATTCGTCCCTCCCCCCAAGTCCTCGCTCTTTTCATATGCAAATATATGCAGGTTTAATCAGCAGAGATGTGCATTTAATCAACAACAGATTCCCTCAGTTGGATGCCTGGCCCGACTTAAGAAATCACTATATGACATTGGTGTCCTTTCACGGCAACCCTCGTGAGAGAGACCACCTCATCTGTTGAGTGGGGTGGTCGGCCTCAGCCTGGCTGTGTGTTGGTGGGTTTTGGGGACGGGGTCTTTCTTCACACAAGTGAGTAGTTAAAGAGTGGAATTTGCTCTCACAAGAGGCGGCAACAGCCACCCACTTAGAGGACATTGAAAGAGGATGGAAATTGTAGAGTTGGAAGGTCACGCCCAGCAATG